CCTCAACCCACCTCCCGCTTCTTTTCTCTCTTTCTTTCTGTCTCTTTTCTTTTCATATTCCACACAGATAATATTATGAAAACAAGATTAAAAGATGAGCCTACAAAGAGTGGATAGTGCCATAGTGCTCCTCTTGTGAAAGAAAATGTGTTTGCATGACAAAGCATCCAGTCTATGATTCGGTTTGTTAGAACAGTTTTTTTTTTTAAAAAGGCCATGGAAGTGTAACATAGTTAAGAGTTCAAGTTAAATCCCGCTAAATGGGACATTGGCACCACCTACTGTTGCAAAAGTCACCCTGCAATATTTACAAAAAGTAAGAAATTCTGGGTAATCCTCAGAGCAATGGAGGATTCCTGTAGAGGTAAGGAATGTGCAAATGTCGTGGACAAAACAATCATGTTACTAGCTGTAACAGTAATATTAGTTGATCCAGTTATTTCTGGTGTCACAGGCTGGGTCACTGACCCAGCGCTCTGAGTATAGTTTTGTATTCAGTTCATGTTAGATTTGTGATTATAGTTCTTGTGTTATTCATATTTAGCTTTTAGTTGAGGTTAAGATCATGTTTAAACTCAGCATTTTCCTTCCTTCTGTAAATCACTAGTGTTGTTCAATCAGGAGAAAGCATCTCACAATTGGACTCTTAACCACTAAATTTCTTGTTTCATCACTGGTTGGTCATAACAGTCTCTTTTTTTCCTTTCTTCTTTGAAGTTCAGTTATTGTCCTGCAACCCAGAGAGTTTATTTGTTAGTAATGGATAAACTTCACCATTTAACAACAGGTGTATGTTAGGTTTCCCTGTTTTAACCTTGCTGAAAAATCTTCACGTGTTCATGAGTGTAAGCTGCTTTTTCATTGCGTGTGTGTGCATTTGTAGGCGGGTTAATTTGAACTTTTTTCTCAAACAAGGCGTTTCCTTAAAAGAAGCTTTTCTCTCACATTTCTCTGCTTGTATGTGTTTTTGTTTCACCTTTTGTTGCGATGCTCCGGACGCCTTTCCAACCTCCACAAGTCCGTTGGCCCAAAATCCAACCCAATTTTGTGTACTCTTAAAGCTTTAGTCAAAGGAGCTTGCAA